CTGCCTCGCCGCGCAACGCCGCCTGGGCGATGAAGTGACGCCTGCCGTCAGGCGCCTGCCAGGCTTGGGCGGACGGGATCTCGCGCGGCAGCCCCGCCGGCAGCTCGGTGCCCTGCAGCACGCTGCGACTGCCCGGGTTCGTCACGACGAAGCCACTCAGACCCATCTCCTGCGCCACCCGCGGCTCGCCCAGCCCCACGGCCAGCACATTGCCCACCCACTGCACGCCCAGGTGGGCCGTGATGACCGCCACGACCTTGCCGTGGTCATCCAGCACCGGCTCGCCGACGTCGATCAGCTCCTGAGGTCGGTCCATCAGCGGTGCGAGCGCGACGGCGGCGTGCACGTCGCCCACCATGCCGCGCAGGCCCTGCTGGAAGACCGGCCGCGTCGCGATGGACTTGCCCTCCAGCCAGCCACGGCTGCCGGCGAGCACGCGACCATCCAGGCCCACGAGCCCCACCCAGATGAACTTGGGCGACTCGGCAACGAGCTTGTCCAGCTCGGCCCGCACGCGCGCAGGCGCCATGTCGGGTTGCATCAGCGGCGAGCGGGCCTGCAGGCGCACCTCGTTGACGGCGTCGCGCAGGGCCGCCTGCAGCTGCAGGCCGAGTACATCGGCCCGCTGCTGCGTGCGGATGAGGGTGCGCTCGGTCAGGTCCTGGTCGAGCAGGCGGTGCTCGACGGCCAGCATGACGAAGGTCAGCACCGCCACCGCCAGGGCGGGCAGCAGTGCGAATCGCCAGGTCAGCCGGCGGGCTTGATTCATGCTGCCACTGTAGTGGCACCGTTCAGTCGGAACACGCGCACGGCCTGCGTCACCAGCTCAGCCTGGTGGCTGAGCGACATTGCCGATGCGGAGAGCTGCTCGACGAGGGCCGAGTTCTGCTGCGTGATGCCGTCGATGTTGGCCACGCTGCCGTTGACCTCGCCTGATGCCGCCGCTTTGCTGCTGCACCGCCACGCTGATGCGGCCGATGAGCTCGTTCATGCGGTCCACGGCCGTCTCGGCTTCGCGCGCCGAGCGGCCGGTGTCGGCCACGATGCGCGCGCCTTCCTCGAC